CTAGCTATGAAGAAAATGAAGACCAAACGTTCTGGGAAACTGCATTAGAAAAAGCTGTGAGCAGGAATAACCTTAGCAATGAACTAAGAACTGGAAGGAGGACTGTATGGCCAGAACATGGTCAGTGAGTAAGAGAATGCCCCTCTCTTTCCCCAGCATCTCATCTTAGTAAGAGGCCAAATCACATAGCATCTTGTAGGCAGGGGGAACCATAATTTGATGATCCAGCAAGACAAAAGGAACACTGTTAATAATTACTATTAGTTATTAGTTATTAATAGACAATAGACAATAACCAGAATTGTCAAAAGCAGACTGGGACATAAAGTCATCCTATTTACAAGCCTTGGTAAGTAACCTGGACTTTATTCTTTTTAAAAAAAATTTTTTTTAATGTTTATTTATATCTGAGAGAGAGAGAGGGACAGAGTGTGAGCAGGGAAGGGGAACAGAGAGAGGGAGACAGAACACAAAGCAGGCTCCAGGCTCTCAGCTGTCAGCACAGAGCCCGACGCAGGGCTCAAACATGTGAACTTTGAAATCATGACCTGAGCCAAAGTTGGATGCCCAACCGATGACTGAGCCACCCAGGAGCCCCAGACTTTATTGTTAATGCGATGGGAATCATTTAAAGGGTTTTAAGAAGGGGAGTGACATGTTCTAATATAGATTTTAATAAAATCACTCAAAATTTTGTAAGGAAAGAAGATTGTATAAGAAACAGGTTGGGAAAAGGCTGAGAATGGAAACAGGAGTGAGTATCTGTTAGGAGGCTGGAATGGTTGTCTGCGTAAGAGATGATATTCTGAACTAGGTTGGTGGCAGTAACAGAAACAGAATCAGTAGGTTTGCTGACGGGTTGGTTGGAGAAGTGGGTGAGAGAGAGAAAGAAAGAACAGATTCTACTTTTCTGGCTTTTGCAGTCATAGGGATGGCACTACCATTTTGTAGTTATTAGTATTATTTTTTTAATGTTTATTTATTTTTAGAGAGAGAGTGTGTGCTATGTCAGCGCAGAGCCTGATGCGGGGCTCAATCCCACGAATCATGAGACCATGACCTGAGCCGAAATCAAGAGTCGGACGCTCAACCAACTGAGCCACCCAGACTCCCTGGCACTACCATTTTGAAAAGGAAAATACTGGTATTGGGTATTGGCTGGGAGACACTGTGTACACTGGGCCTTTAAAAATACCTATTTTAAAGTCCAGAAGCTCATGGAAGATACTGCAGAGCATACATCATAAAAAAGATTAGTTGTAAAGTCTCGCCACTGCTGCTACAGGCCCAAATTTTCCTCACAAACATCAGGCAGATGAATCAAAGGCCTCAATTGGATATTCCTTCCAATGTCATAATAGCTTGAGTGATAAAATTCTTTAGTTTACACTTTAGATTTTATAGTTAAGATATGAGCTGTATCACCTAGGTCAGCAAATTATAAACAGAGAAATGTCAGTAAACTACAGTAACATATTTAAATTTTAAAAATATTGGACATAGTGGACAGTGCAGATACTGAATACTTCTGTCATCTCAGAAAGATCTATTAGTGCTATTCTAGAGTCTCTAATACAAAAAACTATTCATAGGAGGGGTGCCTGGCTGGCCCAGTCAGCAAAGCACGCGACTCTTGATCTTGGGGTTATAAGTTCGAGTTCCATGCTGGATGCAGATAATACTTAAAAATATAAAATCTTTAAAGAAAATTATTCACAAGAAATCATGTATAACTGAAACAGCAGAATAGCTTCCCCCAAGCCACTTAGATACCTGGTTCATTTCCAAAAAAAGTATCCACTGGATTATCTAAAGCCTATTATTTAGGTATTGTAAAGCAGTCATATTCCAGGGCATAACACAGACATTGACTCATTTATATGAAATCAGACAGTAAGTAGTGCTCAGGATTGAAACTATCCATGTGTTACCTTTGTGGGGCACTTTTGGTAGAGGGGTAAATATGAGCTTTAACAGTGTGGTGGGGGTGGTGAAATGAAACAAGACTCTTGACTTCACCCACATTATGCTGGTAACAATCCTCTCCTAATAACGGCTCTCACCTGGTTAATGCTTTGTTGTTAAAATTCCCATTAGAGCTGGGCTCTGCTGAGTTAACATTTACACATACCAGATAGGACGTTAATAAGAGGTAGGCAGATAATCTACTCTTACCCATGCATTAAAGGCTTAGGAGGTTTTGAAAATGTACAAGCCAAGGTGGGTTTTGATGATTCACTGCTCAACACCAGCTGGGGAAGAGGCCGAGGCCATCTATGAGATTTATCAGATCTGAGATGATATGGGAAATCCTTTGGTCTGACTGTCTATTTTTACAGTGTTTATGATTTGTTCCAAAAGTATAGAGATAAGAACAAGATACATTGTTTTAGGTAATCAAATAAAAAAACTAATGAAGCTCTTAATTGGTTCTCTACCTACTGGAATCAGAACTTCATTACAGTGAAATTTTAGGACAGAGGAAAAAAGGCATTTGGAAGGGACAGAATTATAAAAAGATGAAAAAAGCGGTTAATGAAAGTCAATCTAAGCACCTACGTACACTGTGCAAAATAAAAGGCTCTTTCACATACTTTATTCCACTGATTCCTCACAACCAGAGAGAGTGATATTTGTATCTTACAAATAAGGAAAGTTAGGCCCAAAGGGTAGACTACTTTCTGATATTCATATAGCTGTTAAAAAACAGAATCTACATAGGCAGAATATATGCTGATATTTTTGCCAATATTCTCAAAGTGTGGTCCTTTTTATTATTATTGGTCTGCAAAGATATTAGTTAGAAGCATAAATAAGGGATTGGACACTTTTATGTCACTTCGACATGGCCATGACATTTGTATTGTATTTTTAAAACTTCTGATCCAACACGGATTGGAAATATTTTAAATCCAGTCTCTCACCACATTATGAGAAGCACTACGCTAGACTATAGGCACTATGAGGGCAGGGACTCTGTTGTTCGTCATAGAATCTTCAACATGTGTTCCATGCAAGATTTGTTGAAATAGTGCACTGAATTTCCAACTCCAGTTTTTCTGACTCCATAGCATTTTTTTTTTTTTTTGCCTCCATGAGCTTACCAATTAAATTGCAGATGCTGCAAATTTCCTTAGAGTGGTCTAATTCTGTTTAGACGTGTCTATCAGAAAATATGTCAAATAGGTACAATTTGTTTGTCCTACAGATATGTTAAGCTTTCCAGAAAAAGGAGTTTAGCTTTTTTCCTTTTCCCTCTGCAATGGTTTAAATACAGAGGTTCAGTAAAAACTAGAATTCATTCAGTTCAAAATGGAGTTTATTTTGAGAAGTTATTTATTCATCCTGTTACATATTTGAATTTTTTTTAATGTTTATATTACGCATTTGAAATGGCAATATACTTCAAACTCAATAAATTTATTTGGGTGACCAAATGCCGTGCTATAATTTTTAAAAAGTGAATTACAAAGAGAACTAAGCAATACGGTCAAGATTTATATAAGAAACTATTCACAAGACAGTAATTTCTCAAAACAAATCAGTAATGTTAAGAATTGTTTTAGAAAAGGTTTCCAAAACTGGAGATTCTTCACACAGGATTTAGAGCTCCAGGTTTCTGTTGTACCAAGCACAGAGCACAGAGAATCATTTAGTGAATGTGAATCAGGCTTAAGTGCACCCTACTTTTCATGTTCACATGTATCTTTTAAGTGGAAAACTGAAAATAATGCTACTTTTAGAGATATTAATGGGTGTGAACCTACCATTTCTCAGTAATTAAGATGAAGATGATGTTAATAATTATACCATCTAAGTAAATTTTCACTTCAGTTGCTTTCTTCATTGTTTCCTCTACCTTAACCCTCTTTTGTTAAGTCTTAATAACTTGCCAAAATATAATTCAAATAAAGTAGGATTAAAAGCGCTTTCACTGCTAATGCATAATGAAACTTGTAAAAACTTGCAGGTGCAAAAGAGTGCATGAGAAAAATGAATATGCTGTCAGACACATCCTAATTGTTTCCCAACAGGTTTGTTCAAGTTGACAATTATAAAAATGGAATACAAAACTTTAAAAAGTTAGTTAGGGGCGCCTGGGTGGCGCAGTCGGTTAAGCATCCGACTTCAGCCAGGTCACGATCTCGCGGTCCGTGAGTTCGAGCCCCGCGTCAGGCTCTGGGCTGATGGCTCAGAGCCTGGAGCCTGTTTCCGATTCTGTGTCTCCCTCTCTCTCTGCCCCTCCCCCGTTCATGCTCTGTCTCTCTCTGTCCCCCCAAAAAATAAATAAACATTGAAAAAAAAATTAAAAAAAAATAAAAAGTTAGTTATAAAAAGGTCTATTTTAAGAGTCTATTTCTGGGAGCTTATTCAGATAAGAGAATGGTTTTGAACACTGAGCATGACATTCTTTATACATTGCTAGTGCAAAGTTCTCCTTATAGACATCTTCTGCAAATGCCCAAGAAGAAATACTCTAAAAACTGTTATGAAGACAGAAAGTTTAAAGACTTTGGAAATATGGATATAAAGGCCCTGGGGCACTTGGGTGGCTCAGTCAGTTGAGCATCTGACTTCGGCTCAGGTCATGATCTCATGGTTCGTGGGTTCAAGCCCCGCGTTGGGCTCTATGCTGACAGCTTGAAGTCTGGAACCTGCTTCAGATTCTGTGTCCCTCCCCATCTCTTTGCCCCTCCCTGTCTTGTGCACGTGTACTCTCTCTCTCTCAAAAATAAATAAATAAACATTAAAAAAAAAGGCTCTATTTTTCGGAAATAATCTCGGTATACTACCTACCCATTAGAATACATACATTTTACAAAACATCTATATTCACATATATGTATGAATTTAAAAATGTAACCATATATTAGGAAGCACATATATATATACACACATTAACTTAAGTATATTTAAGTTATGCTGAAAATTTTTTGACATAGGGAAAGACGCAAAAGAGGATAGTCTCAGACTCTAAGAAAATATTTGCAGATACTTACAATATGCAAAAGTTTTAACACATCCACAAACCTGTAAAAAAAAAAAAACAAAACAAAAACAATAAAAGAAATGTTTTCAATGAACCAGTAGGGAAACAAATGGTCATTTGAATTATAAACTGAATGAATACCTACACTTTCTCTGAGCTCATAATCTCCTTGGCAATATGATGGACTTTACTTTTCATTCCAGTATCTTCATCCTGTGGATAAGACTACATTAAGAAAGCATAAACTCATAAAAGGATAATGAAGATTGGGTTTGAGCTGGTCAGATGTAAATCCAAGCTCTGATACTTATAGGTTTCTGATTAGAACACATTTCATACTGCATAACATCTCAAATGGCAAATGCGGAGCATGAGATGTGATTATTAAAACATAATACAGGAAGCGCTGAGAGCTATCGGTGATCCTCACTGTCACCAGCACAGGACTGATGGGACTGTCCTGGGGAGCCTGAGTCCTGGTGGAGCACAAATGCCAACGGTTCAAAACTGACAAGTCATATTCTGCAGGAGAAATGACCCTTACAGATATCACATAAACATGAGTTCTTCCCAATATGTAACCTAGGAATTTTTCTACTACCCTGAATTTCTCTTCAACATCTGCTGGTAATCATGGCATCTCACAAACATTCATTGCTAAACATATACCCAGACATATCTCCCCTCCACTCCCTTCAAGATTTAACAAATCGCAAACATTCTGCAATATCTGGTTTAAATCTGTCTATGAAACAAATGGTTATATAACATTAAAGTTCCACTCCTCCTCCAAGAGTAAATACTAATCCTGCAGTGTGCATTTGTCCCTTCCATGTTTTCATTTTAGTACAGAAGAACTTAAATACAATAGAAAAAAATCCTGGGGCACCTGGGTGGCTCAGTCAGTTAAGCGCCCAACTCCGGCTCAGGTCATGATCTCGTACTTCGTGGGTTCGCGCCCTGCATTGGGCTCTGTGCTGACAGCTTGGAACCTGGAGCCAGTTTCGGACTCTGTGTCTCCCTCTCCCAATCTCTCTCTGCCCCTCCCTGGCTCTCACTGTCTGTCTTTCAAAAATAAATAAACATTAAAAAAAAAAAATCCTAACCTTTCCATTAGAAATACTGTTACACAAAAAACATTCAAGGTAGGCTATGAAACGAATTACTTACAAAAATAATCTTTAAAGACCAACAGTTATTAATTCAGAATGTACTAATACTCCAGCCTAGTTAGCCTAGGATATTCTGCCTTGCTACTTGACCTTAGCTCCTAAACTCTATCTTTACTTTTTTATTTTATTTAAGTTTATTTATTTATTTTGAGAGAGAGTGAGGGGGGGAGGGGCAGAGACAGAGAAAGGGAGAGAGAGAATCTCAAGCAGGCTCCTTGCTGTCAGCACAGAGCCGGATGTAGGGCCCGATCCCACAAACTGTGAGATGATGGCCTGAGCTAAAATCAAGGAGTTGGGCGCTTAAGCGACTGAGCCACCCAGGCGCCCCTTAAACCCTATCTTTAAAGGAACAATTAGACAGATGAATTTGACTTCCATCCCCATTATTATTCCTCTTTTCTTATTTTTTTTTAAAGCTTATTTATTTATTCTGAGAGAGAGCAAGAGAGGGGGAGGGACAGAGAGAGAGAGAGAGGGAAAGAGAATTCCAAGCAGGCTCCCAACTAAGAGCACATAAGCTGATGCGGGGCTTGAACTCATGAACCCGAGATCATGACCTGAGCCAACATCAAGAGTCAGATGCTTAACTGCTTGAACCATCCAGGTGTCCCTTGTTCCTCTTTTCTAAGACCAGTTGTTTTGGTCAACTGAGCAAGATCCAGCATAAGATACTCAGTTCCATTCACCTACCTTTTAAACTACATATAGCTAACATTCCTCAGGAAGCAGTCTTAAGCACAGCCTGATCTTGCAGACTATGTTATCAGTCATGTGCTAATAACTATCACTATGTACACACACACACACACACACACACACGTGAGGATAATTGTTACTTTGAAAAATTTAGCAAGGTAATACTTTTCTTACTATTATAATGGGTTTCTCCATATCATCTGTAGCTAGAAAGTTTAATATTTCAAAAATACAGTTTAGGGGCACCTTGGTGGCTCAGGTCATGATCTTGCAGTTTGTGAGTTCGAGCCCTGCGTCAGGTTCTGTGCTGACAGCTCAGAGCCTGGAGCCTGCTCTGGATTCTGTGTCTCCTTCTCTCTCTGTTCCTCCCCCTGCTCGTTCTCTCTCTCTCTCTCTCTCTCTCAAAAATAAATAAATATTAAGGGAAAAAAGAAAAATATAGTTTATATTTTGAAAACTGAAAGCCAGAAGAAATGCATTAAAAATGAAAAAAGAGGGGGCGCCTGGCTGACTCAGTGAAGCATGCAACTCTTGATCTTGGGGGTTGTGGGTTTGAGCCCCATGTTGGATACAAAAATTACTTAAAAACAAAAACAAAAACAAAAAAACAACCAACCAACCAAACAAACAAAAAAACACCAGAAACCTAAACCACTGAAAGATCTAAAGCTTTCACTGAGCACTCTTATTTTCAAGTGATGTGAGGTCCCTTAAAGATCAAGAGGTGCTTTCAGCAGTAACTTTCAAGAAATGCATGCTATAGATGGTAAAGCATTTCACTAGCAGAGCCACCTGAAATGTGTACCAGCTTTATACAAAAATTTCAAGTAGGTGTACTTTATTTTTGGCATCTACCATTTATTTCCTTTCCTCTTTTTATGGCTCTGCCCTTATTAAGTCTCTATTCTAGATTTTTTTTCCTCTTCAGGACCCTGCTCTGCCAGGCCTGTTTAGAGAGAATTGTGTGGTGATTCCATGATAATAAATGTTTATCCCCAGACAGATATCATTCTTCTTTCTGTTCCAGCATGGGACAAAAATACTTTAGCTTAGAAAAACAACAAAGGTGGGCCTGACATTCCTTATCTGTAAAGCTAAAGTGTTGAACTTGCAACTTTAAAATCTTAAGATTTAAACGTTAAGTGTCTCAGGGGTGGCATGGCAAGTCAGTGAGACAGGGTGGCAGCGATTCAGAGGTAGCACTGGAGCTGGAGACTATGAAGCAGGTGTTTCCTTTCTAGAGACTGAGACTGTAAACTTTGGGGGGGAATATAGTGAGTACTGGCATAAAAACAGATGTAGGTCACAGGGAAAAAATTAAGAGAAGTCCTTAAGTTTTGTCAATGGATTTTTAACAAAGTTGTCAAGACAATTCAGTGGAAGAAAGGATTGTTTGTCCCCGCCCCCCAACAAATGGTTGAAAATTGCTGGACCAATTAGATATCCATGAGCAAAAAGATGAATTTATAATCTACCTGACACAAAGATGTATCACAGGCTTACACATAAGAGCTAAAACTATAAAAGGTCTAGAAGAAATCCTTTTAGGTTTAGGCAAACAGTTTTTAGATACAACACCAGAGGCATAAACCATAAAAGAGAAAAAGAAAACACTGATAAACTAAACTTCATAAATGTAAAACCTTTATGCTTGAGGGGTGCCTGGGTGGCTCAGTCGGTTGAGTGGCCGACTTTGGCTCAGGTCATGATCTTGCGGTCCGTGAGTTCGAGCCCCACGTCGGGCTCTGTGCTGACAGCTCAGAGCCTGGAGCCTGTTTCAGATTCTGTGTCTCCCTCTCTCTGACTCTCCCCCGTTCATGCTTTGTCTCTCTCTGTCTCAAAAATAAATAAACGTTAAAAAAAAAAAAAAAAGAAATTAAAACCTTTATGCTTGAAAAGACACCATAAAGAAAATAAAAAGATAAGCCCCAGGTTCTGGGTCCAGAATACACAAGATGTGAATAGATATTTCACTCAGTATGTAAGAATAGCCAATAAGTATATGAAAAAATGCTCAATATAATTAGGAAAATGCACATTAAAATGACAGTGGGGTTCCATTCCATATCCACAGAACGGTAATTAAAAAATAAAAAAAAATAGTAGGGTACCTGGCTGGCTCAGTCAGAAGAGCATGCAACTTTTGATCTCAGGGTCATGAGTTCAAGCCCCACACTGGGTATAGAGATTACTAAAAAAAAAATAAACTTAAAATCAGAAAATAGCAAGTGTTGGTGAGGATGTGGAGAAACTAGAACCTTTATCTTACTGCTGGTGGAAATGGTAGCCTTTATTCATATATTGTGATTGAGGGTTTTAGTTGTTTCCTAATATCACTCAAGGTAGAATTCCTATTTCTTATCTTTCTTGTTATTGAGATCACTCAGAGAGAAGGAGTGATCACCATCCTTACTCCATCATTTAAAAATCTACAGTAACAGATTATCCATCATTTGATAGCACGGTTAGTAGAAGAAAACAGCTCTACCCTCAGCTGATTCATTGCTCTACAACCAAATTTGAAAACAAACTGATCATCAGAACCCCCAAGCAGCTCTTAAGTTTCAAATTCCCACTGAACTGTCTTGGAAATTCTGATTCTATAGGGGCAGGAAAGTGGTTGTCAGAAGAGGAAATTAAGGATAAATTTTTAAAAAGCCCTAGATTTTAAGAAGTAAATAAGGAGAGCAACCAAATATCCAAATAGCTATACCTATAAACACCCATGAAATATGCTAACATCTTGAAAGAGAGAAAAATGTACAGTTTAGGAAAATATTCACAAGGAATAAAGCATCCAATGACCTTCAGTCATTCTTTGAACAAGTCATCAAGTATCTGCATACTAGATACTGTCAAAACACTCTCATCAAAGCCAGAAACCTGGACTCCTTTCTTCTCCACCTTCTGTGATCACAAGTGAGTCTTCAAGTCCTATCAATTTATCATTCTGCATATTTCTTTAAAGATTTATCAATCCTTACCTCTTCTTCAATACTGCCTCCTTATTTCTTGCCTACACTACTGCAGGAACATAAGTACAGTAAAACCTTGGTTTACAAGCATAATTCATCCTGGAAATATGCTTATAATCCAAAGCACTTGTATATCAAAGTGAATTTCCCCTTAAGAAATAATGGAAACTCAGATGATTTGTTCCACAACCCAAAAATATTCATATAAAAATGATTACAATACTGTAATATAATACAAAATAATAAAGAAAATGCAAAATATAAAGAAAAATAAACAGGGGCGCCTGGGTGGCTTGGTCGGTTAAGCGTCTGACTTCGGCTCAGGTCATGATCTCATGTTCCATGAGTTCAAGCCCCATGTTGGGCTCTGTGCTGACAGCTCAGAGCCTGGAGCCTGTTTCAGATTCTGTGTCTCCCTCTCTCTCTGCCCCTCCCCTGTTCATGCTCTGTCTCTCTCTGTCTCAAAAATAAATAAATGTTAAAAAAAAAATAAGAAAAAAAAAGAAAAATAAACAAATTAACTTGCACTTACCTTTGAAAACCTTCGTGGCTGGTGTAAGGGAGACAAGAGAGAGGAGGATTATTGTGTAGGACGACTTTCACTATCACTATCGGAATCTCTGCTACCTATTGGCTCAATGGAATCTTTTTCTGCATGGAGCTATTGTATACACTCACACGTATGTTTGACTACAGTACAGTATTATTATTAATAAACTCTTGTCATATACTATATTTCATGTAACTGGCAATAAGGCAACAAAGGAAAGGGTTTATACCTGCAGGCAGCCTGACCTAGAATGAAGCAAAGCATTCCTAAGCTTACTCTTATATGGAAGAGCAAAGGACTGTCCATAGGTGGTTTGAAGTGACAAAAATTACACTAGTGCCATTTGTGGGCACCTTCCAATGTTCTGAAAAATCAGTGATTTTTGCCAAACACCGCGGCCTGAGACCGAACATTCAAGCATGGGAGACAATCACCCACAATCCTGCAGTGAGAGCGAGAGAGCGAGAGCAAGAGCGAGAGAGACAGAACCACTGGCTTGGTTGTGATCATGTGACATTCAGCATCACATACTACTTGTATTGTAAGATATCGTTTATCAAGTTAAAATTTATTAGAAATGTTTGCTCATTTTGTGGAACACTCGCAGAACAAGTTACTTGCAATCTAAGACTTTACTATGGTTTCCTTGGCTCTAGATTTTATCCCACTGCAATCCAGTCTCTATACTGCCACCAGAGTAATAGTTCTTATTTATTTATTTATTTATTTATTTATTTATTTATTTAAATTTTTAAAAGTTTAAATCCAAATTAGTTAGCATATGGTGCAACAACAATTTCAGGAGTAGATTCCTCAGTGCCCCTTACCCATTTAGCCCATCCCCCTTCCACACCCCTTCCAGTAACCCTCTGTTTGTTCTCCATATTTAAGAGTCTCTTATGTTTTGTCCCCCTCCCTGTTTTTATATTATTTTTGTTTCCCTT